ACAGCTGCAGCAGAGACACGAATCGTCTCCGTTCGCTCGCAATGGCTCAAGAGCTGCTGCGGAGAGTCCGCAGCGAAATGCAGCTGGAGCCCCACAGGGGCAAAGCCATTCGCAATTTGCTGCTGGGGGCCCACCAGGGGGCCCCCCTGGGGGCCCCCACGGGGGCCCCCACGGGGGGCCCCGTGGGGGCCCCCGTCGGGGGGGCCCCCGGGGAACAGCTGGGGGGGCCCCCCGTGGGAGGGCCCGCCCACGCATTTTCAGAAGAAAGTACCCACCAGCACCATCACCTGCAGCAGCAGCAGCAGCAGCAGAGGGAAGAAGCGGGGGACAGGCAGCAGCCAGTGGAGGCAGCTGATAGCGTTAGCATTGGCCGTAGCAGCAGCAGCAGCAGCAGCAGCAGCAGCAAGTCGCAGCCGTCTCCGTCTCTCCCGAGTCCCACGGACCCAGGAGCAGCAGCAGCAGCAGCAGAAGCAGCAGCAGCAGCAGGAGGCCACCACCACCACCACCACCACCACCACCACCACCACCACCACCATCGCCGGCAGCAGCAGCAGCAGCAGCAGCGAGGAGCGGGGTCCGAGGCGCCTGGGAGCAGCCGCAGCAGCGAGAGCAGCAGGAGCCGGAGCCGTCGGAGCAGCAGCAGCAGCCGCAGCAGCCGCAGCAGCAGCAGCAGCAGCAGCAGCAGCAGCAGCAGCGCTGCGGGGGAGGGCCTGGTGGCGATAAGCGCAGCAGACATTGCGTGGGACATCAGCAGCACGTTGCGGCCATTCGTGCGGTGTTTGCTAATCGCTGATTTAGGGTTTGAACCCTCCGAATTGGGGTTTACTGCTTCCGAGCAGCAGCTCATCAAGCAGCAGCTGCTGCTGCGCGTCAAAGACAGCTACCCACATGTTTGTCCCCTTTTGCTTTCCAAAGCAGCACAAAAAGAATGTTATGCTGAACAAATCCTCAACACTCTTTTCCACTGCAGAACGCCCCCAGTCGGTGAGCAGCAGCAGCAGCAGCAGCAGCAGCAGCAGCAGCGGCGGCGGCGGCGGGGGCGGCGGCGGCGTGCTGCTGCAGCAACAGCTGCAGCAGCAGCTGCAGCACGCGCAGCCGCAGCAGCTAAAGTGGCATTCCGGGCATAGAGCCCGCTCGCCGTCTTGCTGCCGCCGCAGCAGCAGCAGCAAGCAGCAGCAGCAGCAGCTGCTGCTGCTGCTGTAGCAGAAATAAGCAGCCAGAGTGGCTCTTTTCGCCGCGAATAAGCCGCCAAATAAAACAAAAGAGAGACCAAACAAAAGCCAAACAAATAAATTTATTTATTTATTTATTTATTTGTTTGTTCGTTGGTTGGTTTATTTATTTATTTATTTATTTGTTTGTTGGTTTGTTTTAGGGACTGGGTTCTCGCACCTGGACTTCCAGGGCTACGTGCTGATGAACGAAGAGTTTGCTGCTGCTGTTGCAGCAAACTACTCCGAAGGAGATGTCATTCTCATTTACGACTACCACTTCATGCTGCTGCCCCTCATGCTCAGACAAGTCCTGCTGCTGCTGCTGCTGCTGCTGCTGCTGCTGCTGCTAAGTCTGCTGCTGCTGCTGAGACTGCTGCTGCTGCTGAGGCTGCTGCCGCTGCTGCTGCTGTTAATGCTGCGGCTGCCGCTGTTAATGCTGCTGCTGCTGCTGCTGCTGCTGGTAGAGCTGCGGCTGCTGCTGCTGCTGCTGCTGCTGCAGCTGATGCAGCTGATGCTGCTGCTGCTGCTCCTGCTCCTGCTCCTGCGACAAGCATGATACTGTGAATTCCGTTGCTGCTGCTGCTGCTGTGACACTGCTGCTGCCGCTGCCTCTCCTCCCCCTGCTACCACTCCCCCACTTCTTAAACTCCTGCTGCTGCTGCTGCTGCTGCTGCTGCAGACGCTGCCGCGGGCCACAATTGCAGTGCACTGGGGGACAGTATTTCCCAGCAGCGAAATTTTTAGGATTTTACCCCAACGAGAATTGCTGCTAAATGGTTTGCTAGCAGCAGATTTAATTACTTTTCAGGTATTTTTATTATTAATTTACTTAATTAATTAATTAATTAGTTAGTTGTTTATTTATTATTTATTTATTATTTGTTTATTATTTACTTGTTTATTATTTGTTATTTAATTTTTATTTGTGTAATATTGCGAAAGTTGCTGCTAAATGGCTTGCTCGCAGCAGATTTAACTACTTTTCAGGTATTTTTTATTTCAAGTTTTTTCGTTCATTATTATTTATTATTCGTTATTTATTTATTATTTATTCGTTATTTATTTATTACTTATTTGTTTATTTATTTTTATTTGCCTATTGCCGAAAGTTGCTGCTAAATGGTTTGCTAGCAGCAGATTTAATTACTTTTCAGGTATTTTTATTATTTATTTGTTTAATCTATTTATTTATTTTTTTACGTTTCTGTTTATTTCTTTATTATTTATTGTTTATTTGTTACTCATTTGTTATTTATCTGTTTGTTTATTGGTTTATTTATATATTC